CCCGCCGATGCCGAGAGCAGAGGCTGAGCAGGACCCTGCGGGCGAAACTCGCTCTCCCGCCCGCGAAGCGTCTGTTTCCCAGGAGAGATCGGCTCCAGGGAACTCGCTTTCCCAAGGCCCGAGGGAGCAGGCGCTGTGCGTCCTTCCCGCAGGGCTGCGCGCCCGGAGCGGAGTGGTCCCAAGCGGCCGATGGCGAGGGCACTGAAGGAAGGCAGGGGCCCCCCACCGGGACCGAGAGTGCCGGGAGGTCGGGTCCCAGGGCTGGCGGCCCCGGGCGCGGGCTGTAGATGATGGCAGATGAAAAAACCCGGCACCGGATCAACTGACCCGGCTGCGGGCGTCGCAGGATGTGGGCAGAAGGCCCGCCTGGTCAGAGCCTTAAATCATCACCTGCTGTCCCCGGAGATGCAGCCGCTGGGGCGTGAGGCCAGGCGCCGCGGCGATGGCCGCAGAATCGAAACTTCCTTAGTCGCCTCCATCCCCCTAGCACTGGCGCCATTGCCTCCACCCTGAGCCACCATTGTTTCCAATGCCCAAACCGGGCTGCCCCGGCGAGTCTTGGGAACCGAACCGCTAGCTCTCCAATGAGTCTCAGGGAGGCTCTTCGGGGCCCGCTTCCTCATCTCTTTCTGCCTGAATGTTTCGCCACCACCCTCGCTGCGGAGGCCGCCGCCCTAACAGCGCGCAGCAGAGCTTCGCTCCCTCCTCCTCTCCTGCAGCCCAGGCCCCTGCAGCGACTTGGCTCCGGCTGCGCCTCGCTGCGCCTGCCAACTGTCACACGCTCCTCCGAGGCGGTCAACAGCAGGGCGTTGGGTGCAAACAAGCCGCAGGGAGCAAAAACAGCCGGAGCAAACGGGGACAGCCCGACGTTGTTTGATCCGCACAGGAGTTAAATTCAGTTTCAAGGAAGTAAAATCGAAGTGCGATATTGTATTTCTAAATGTTAGTCGTATTACACCCTCCACTTGTATTCCCGCCTCGAAACTTCCAACGGGTACCAATTGCGCTTAGAATAAAAACGAAACTCCTTACCTAACTGCGACTTCAACACATGCTAATCACGCTTTGGCCACAGAGGCCTGCATACTGTCCCTGGAAGTCGCCAAGTTCCATCCAGCATTGTTAGCCATTCCTTTTACATGTTCTTTGCACATGAACTGTTACTCTGGCTCTTTGTCTGCTGATTTCTTCTTGTCATATAGGTGTCAGCTCAAATGTCACCTCTGCAGAGAACCTCTCTCTGACCACACATCTAAAATTGCCACAGTGCAGTACACTCTCAAAAGACCTGGCCCTGCTTGAGTTTCTTCACAGCACTTGTCACTGTCTAAAACAAGCCTTGGGGATTGTTGGTTAAAATGATTAACAGTTTCCCTTTCAAGACTGCAAGCTCTGTAAGGGCAGGGTCAGTGCTTTTTTTAAGGGTTCTATCTCAATGCCTGTCTAAGTACGCAGTGAATAATTTTCGAATGAATAAGTGAATGAAAGCAATGGCGTTTAGAGTTCTAGTTCACTTCTAATGCTGAAAACCTTTCCAGTGACCATCTCCTATTGAATGATGTGTTTATGAATATTACAGAGAAGGTATCTGGATCATATGACTCCTCAGAGCTGTCTCCCTGGTGTGTGAAAGATAATCAGAGCCCTTAGGCTGGCCCCGTTTAAGGGCGCTTCAGAATCAAAAATAGAAAGTGCACCACCGGTCCTAGCTGTCAGTGTTTAGATGGTACCTAGCCTATGCGGAGCCCGGTTTTGGTTAAATGACCCCACGAATGTACTACTTAAATAAGAGACTCTTTATTTTAGGTCATGTTGTGTTCTTTTAGAGTTATTTTTGCCGTCAAAGCACTTAGAGTCAGAGATATTTAAAACTCCACAGCTTGTTAAATCACCTCACCTCCCCTGTAAACTATAGTCTCTCATGCTCTTCAGTGCGAAACACGTTATCTTGTGTTTTGTTTTAAATACCTCAACTCTGCAGAGATTTGTGGTAAAAATGCCTCAACATTGCTCTAGCAAATACAGATGGATCATGGTGTCCTATTGGGATTTCTTGGCAAAGAAGCAAATAATTCCTTTGCCAGCTTCTTGCCTCTTACCTCTCCCATTGCCACTCACACATAAAGACAAGGACCATTTAAAAATTGCTATTTTGTATCAGAGGTAAAAAGTAAACAAACCCAAAATGTTTCAGAAGCCTACCTGCCCTCAAAAGAACACTAATGAGTTTTGTTTTGTTGGATACTATTTTACATTTGCCTTCATAAAGCTATCCTGAAGGAACATGATTTCACAAATTCGTTAATGAAACCCATTATGTTCTCCCACACAGAACTTCCTCCTTAGTTTAAATAGAACTCTTCAAATTATCACGAAGTTACCATTCATACTCAGGGTAGATAGTATGACATTATCTGCTATAGCCATCTATTACTTTCACAATTATTATTGTCTACCATTTATCATTTGAAAACCAATAGAACGCTAATTATAACATAAATAACATGAAAAGAAAAACATGAACACTTGAATAAACAGCATTTATAAAGCACCAACAAACGATAATTGACGAATACAGAATTTTTTGTTGTTGTTGAAAGAAAGCACTTGGCCTTCTACAGATCAACAAATCCAAGCTTCACATTTAACAGATGAAGGAACTGCAGTGTAAAGAGGGTAGATGGATGATTTATGAGTCCAGGGGCAGATGTGAACCGGAGCTGAGATTGCCTGTGTTTTAAACCAGGGCTTACTCCAGAGTTTGCTGTTGCTGCCATATTCCCACAAAGAAATTAGAGTCAATGACAACAATCTACAAAAGGAATGTGGAGTAAAGAAAAAAATTAGCTAATTTTAGGCTACTAGAAGGCTAGTCCAGTAACTATTTAATTGATGTTCCAATTTAATTCATTGATATTACATTATCAAATTTGGGTTTAGCACTATAAAATAGTCTTTCTAATTATTCTGAAATAAGCAACAAGCAGTACATTAATTCGGTGCACATATTTGGAAATGTTACTTGTTCAGCATTCTTGAATAAATAAAAGAAGTTGCTTGCTGCCCGGAAAAGGATGACCACTATGAAGTTTCCAGCCACACTAAGGATCGAAAGAGTCAATATCTCATTACCCCAGTAATCCATTTGGAGCACACCCACTCTGCATTAATTAGTGATGTTTGAAGTCCTATCAAATTAAGAAATGGTTAGAGTATGAAGGAAAGCAGAACAATTGTCCAACAGAGTTCTGGTAGGACATAGACATCAGCAAAAAGATTCAGCCAAATTAAGTGAAAGTTATTATTAGAAAGGAACAGTCATATACTAGTTTAGGTGCTGTGGACTACAAATTAATTTAGGCGATAAGGAAATTCATCATTTCACTTAACAAGTCCAGAAATAAGGCAATTTTCAGCCACAGCTTCACAGCTTCATCAAGAACCCAACTTTTTTCTCTCCACTCTGTGATCTTCTGTGTGAGCAGTTTCAAAGCAACTGACGGCCATGTGGTTGAAAAGGTGGCTGCCAGGGGGGAGGAAGAAAAGATTTTCTCTCTCATGTCACTTCCTGGAGAGCAAGAAAACTGTTTCCAGAAATCTCCCTTTAGAATTCTTCTTAGGTCTCACTTACAAAAACTATTCTGTACATTTCTACCCT